GTACAAAAAAAGAAAAAAAAAGTGAGGACCCTACAAAAGACACAAGACTACTTATGACTCATCAGCACAGTGTTTAAATTTTTTTTTTGGGGGGGGGGTGCTGGGGATGTGGCTCAAGCGGTAGCGCGCTCGCCTGGCTTGCGAGCGGCCCGGGTTCGATCCTCAGCACCACATACAAACAAAATGTTGTGTCCGCCGAAAACTAAAAAATAAATATTAAAATTCTCTCTCTCTCTTTTTTTTTAAATTTTTTTTGTGTTTCTCCACGTGTATTCATCTCTCTAGGAGTACACATCAGTGCTATGCATATGTTTCTTGTATTTTGTATTTTTCTTTGAAATCTCAGATTTAAGTAGTCCATCACCATCCCAGAAATCTGGGAACAGGTCTTCCCTTCTCATTTTTACTCAGGACCAAGCTGACTTGAGTTTTAAAACAAAACAAACAACAACAACAACAACAAAATGTTGGGCAGTTGCAAACCACGTGTKCACTTAAAGCCTTAATTTTAAAAATCTGTATGGATCCTTTGAAGATCATCAGCAGAAGAGAAGAAATGGTTTTCCATTAACAAAACTATCTTGATTCATCATATTAAAAAAGATTGAGAAACCTGGACTTTCTCAAAGTCTCATTAAGTAATGTTTTTCCATTAACAAAACTATCTTGATTCATCATATTAAAAAAGATAGAGAAACCTGGACTTTCTCATAAAGTCCAAGGTTTTTGGTTGGGGAAAATAAGGAAGGTGTCTTTTCTAAGGGAAGCATAGTATGGAGAATAGGAAGGCCAAGGACTTGGTTGGGTCAAGGTTAGGGTGCAGACGGCAGGGACTGTAAYGTCATCTCTGCCAGAAATCATATCAATGATTTTGAGCCATTAATCTCTTTATCTCTGATTTTCCTAATTGGCACACTGGAAATTTCAGTATTTTTTAATTTAATTGGTTATTGTCTCTTCCACTTTAATATGAACCTGCAAAGGGCAGGGATTCTGCTTTGTTCACAAGCTTTTCCCTGACCTGAGAAGGAAGGGGGGAGATGGCTTGTACAACAGGGTTTTCGTTATATGGACACCATGCTGATAAAGTGGGTTTGTGTCTGGTGTCTTGTCACAGGATAAATTCCAGGCTACAGTCTCTTCTTTATAGTGCTAAAGAGCATTTTTCTTGATAATAGGCCAAATTTTAGAAACATGAGAACTATAGTTTCTGTTTCTAAAATCTGAGTTACTTCATGAGTGGACAGGAGGCCCAGGTCACCAATCCCAGGTGGGCAGCGGTGGAGTAGTGGACTATAGTCAGTGTTCCTTAATGATGGGGATGCATTTAAAGCAATGCATTGCTAGGTGATTTTGTCCTTGTTCGAACATCATAGTGTGCATTTACCTAAGTGAAGTGGCWGTGCCATCACAAGGTGATTCAGTCTATGGGAGCACTGTTGTATATATGGTCCCTTATTGACAAAAATATCATTAAGTGGTGCATGGCTGTGGTTGGGTCTGGGAATGGAAAGCCAGTCAGCCCTGTGACTTCTCTTTCCAAGCTTGCCCTCTCTGTACCTGAGCAGCCAGACATGCTATTCACCTGGGCTTTGGAACCTGTCCTTCCCAGCACACAGAACACTTCTCCCTCATTTCCTGAGGATCTCCATATACACACATCTTCCAGGGAGGCCTTCCCTGGCCACTCTGTATTAATAACTCCYCCTACACCTACCTCTGAGCCCAGGGTCTCCATTCCTTTTCTTTTCTACTGTTTTCCTTTTCTTTTCTCATTCCTTTTCTCTTACTACTGTTTAATACACCATATAACTTACTTGTTTAATTGTTTAAATTYTGTCTCTCCCACCAGAATATATGTTCTTCTTGCATAGAGTAAGTGTCCAGTAAATATTTTTGAATAAATAAAAGRTACATGCGTTTAACTTAAAATTCTGCCATAAAAGAATTTCATGTGACCATCCAGGGCTCTAATTCAGTAGGAGTTGAAGATTTTCTCTTTATTTGTAGAATGACAAAGGACAGATCCCTGCTGATGTTGTTCCAGATCCAGTGGACATGCCGTTGGAAATGGCCGATGCTGCAGCCACTGCTAAGGAGATCAAGCAGATGCTTCTAGATGCGGTGCCCCTGTCGTGTAGYGTCACAAAGGCCATGCTTCAAAACTGTGATCACGTTACTGCCAAGTCAATGCTTACCTCTCTCGGCTTGAAGTTAGGKGATCGTGTGGTCATCGCAGGACAGAAGGTACAGTAAGCCACTGTGGGCCCTGAAGCTATGTCCATGGCCTGTGTTCAAAGGTGTGTGCAGCATGGTCAGAGTTTTGAATTTTTGGGAAAAGGTTCAATGTAGAGGTAGGAGGTCCCTTATTGACTGAGAATATGCAATTTAGATGTAAGTTTACTATGAAGTCTGATTTATGGATGTAAACTTATTAGAACTTGATAGGGAAAGTGTCTGCGTTTGCATGGGAAAGAGTGGAGCAGAGTGGAGCTGCTGAATAAATTTAGAGGCATGAGCTGAGCAGTGATCTAGCCCCCTTGTCTGTGCAGTCCCCACCCCACCTCCAGAGGCTCCTCCCACTGCAACGGCACAGAGGCCAAGTGAGGGAGACCCTACTGTTCTTCAGTGTTTGGCTCCAAGATGCCACAAACAGGGACATGTAACCTGACAGGAAAGAGTTCTATGCAAAGGAAGACTCCTCCCTCCCCTGACCCCACCCCACCAACAGTGCAGCAGACTGCAGATCCCTTTTCCTCCAGAGTGGCAGCTTCTGTGTGGCATTTGTGGTGGCCAGTTTTTTGGTTTTCTGATACCTTCTTTTCTTTTTGCCRTGCTGGGGGTGGAACCCAGGGCCTTGTCCRTGCTAGCCAAGTGCTCCATCACTGAGCTAAGCCTCCAGCTCCATCGGAGGTTCTGTTTTTGTTTTTAATTTTGACATCACTAGAGAACTTAGTGTGGAGCTTAGTGTGGAACAGGGCRTTCCTGCTTGGATGCTGAAATTCCCAGCATCTTCACCTTTCAATATTTGAATGGGTTTTGTTGGGGGTGATGCAATTTACAGACTTGATATATTAAGAAAATTGATTCAAAAAGGAATCAAAGCTACAAATAATTAGGTCAAGAATGACTTTTACCAAAATAATGCCTTCACAGGACATTTATTAGGTTTTCACTGTCTGTGGAGTTAAAACACCAGGAGATTATGAATGCATGGCTTTTTAAATTTAGATTGAGTGTTAATCTTTAGTAGCATTCATTCCTATAACTATGTCTGAGAAGGTGGACCCTTAAGAGAGTTATTCTGTTGTTTTATCTTATTTTTCATTTTGGTTAATTCTAGCTGCACTGAAGAGCAGTCTCCAGTTGTAACGTGGACTTGTCTCTCTTTCCTTTCAGTTCCATTGATAAAGAGTTAACTCTTTTATTATTATTTCATGTCCCATTTAGTGTTCCTTATTCTGAAGACTACTTTGAGACAGTGAAATTTTTAAGACTTCTCTGGTAAATTTGCCAGGAGGAGGWCACTTGGAATTACTAATAATTCTAAAAATTGTTTTGATATATATTTTCTTTAGGTTGGGACATTAAGATTTTGTGGAACAACTGAATTTGCAAGTGGGCAGTGGGCTGGCATTGAATTAGATGAACCAGAAGGAAAAAACAATGGAAGTGTTGGAAAAGTCCAGTACTTTAAATGTTCCCCCAAATATGGTAAGGTTGATGCTATTTAACTTACTAAGGATTAACTAAAAAATAATCAGATTTTACTCTTTTATAGATTTTTGTTTGTTTGTTTGTTTGTTTTTGTTTTTTTTGATGATGCTGGGGATTGAACCAGGGCTGATGCATGCAAAGCTCACACCCTACTACTAAGCTGCACCTCCAGTCTCTCTTACAGTTTTTAAATGRAACTTTTCTCCTGACTACTTATATGATCGATGAGGGGAATGGGGATTTAGGGAGGAGTTTTTAAAAATAGGAGATGTTATAGCATGTTTATTCACATTGATAAGAATTACAGAAAAGAGAAGTGGAGGCTGCGGGAGTGGAAGGGCAGTCACAGGAGGAGAGCCCTCGAAGAGCTGACGAGGCTGGAATCCAGCCTAGGGGTGACCTGGCATTGCATCAGGCACAGCTCCCCCTCCCCAAGGAAAGAAGTGGTGGGGAGGTGGGGAGATTCTCTTTTGACTGTGGGTGTCCTTTCAAAAGCTGAGAAGTGACACCATTAGCTAATATTAGGAGAGGGAAGGGTATTTGGAAGTTTGAGGAAAGAGATTCAAGAAGTTCATTGAGGAGAAGGAGAATGTGGCCAGGTCAGGGAGATATGGTAGATGGCCAGGTGCTGCTGAGGGCCAAATGGGAGCCTGTTGTCATAGACTTATTAGAGTCAGACCAGCATGCGAGATTAGGTGTTTTTTTTTTTTTTTTCCCCCTTAAGTCATATTAAACTGTTTGGTTATAGGTGCTGATTAAGCAGAATCTGGTTTCACCAGGGCTATTTTTTCTCAAATTACAAATAGGAGGAAGTAGGCAGAGGAGTTGAGGATTTTAGGAGAGCGGTGAGCGTGATGAATGGTGGAATCTAGGACAGCTGGTGGGGAAAATGAGGATGCTACTGGGGAGATGGACCATGACAGCATGATGGGATTGTCCATTTCCATGTGGTGGAGGGGCCATGGGGTGCTGGAGTTAGTGACCTGGAGTGGTTGAGGCTCCAGCATACCTTGTGGAGAGCTGTACAGGTTACGATGAGCCTGGCAGCTGAGCTGGAGGAGAGGGACAGCTCATGGGAAGGGCAGTGCTCAAGGAACAGACAGCCTGGGTGTTAGGTGGCTGCCTGGGYGGGTGTGGCATTCACCATGAGCCAAGCCAGGAGGAGAGGAGTGGGGGAGGTCAGGGAGCCAGCCAGCTGCTGGAGGTTTTTACTGGATGAGGATGAATATTAGTGACTCCAACTTCAGTTGTGGCTTCCTGAAGGAGAGGTAGGAGTGGTGCAGTCAGGTTGCAGCCCTTGCCTCGGATCAGCATCTCTATAGAAGCACTCAACAGATGTTAACCCTTGGCTCTTATAAATTTACCAAAATTACTGGTTTCTTTTTTGTTACATTTAGGATGGAGCCTTGGGGATTTGTCTATTAAGAATTTTTTTTGTGTTTACAAAATTTGCTCACTATGTAAAATTTGAAAAACAAAAAAGGAGAAAGAAGAAAATAAAAATCACCTGTACTTTTTTTTCTCTTTAGTATTTCTCCCACAAAATTTGGATCATGTATATAGTAGTTACATGTTCTGCATCTTTACTTGACATCCTATTATAATTTCCCTGAATCTTTAAGTATTATTTGAAAATGGGATTTTAAATGGATCTATTTCCTTTAATTTTTCCAATTGGGTGAAAATTTCTGTTTGGATTCACATTTCTCTGGTTGTGGCAAAATAGAACATTTAAAATGTCTTGTTTTACTATATGTATTTTTTGTGTTATTAGCAGTTRTCTATTCATATTATTTGCCCATTTAAATTGATATATTAGTGTTTTCTTAAAAAAAGAAACTGATATGAGTTTTAGAAAATACATTATTTAGAATATTGGCTCTTATATTTATTATATATATTTTGCTCAATTTGTCATTTGCCTTTGAACTTTGTTTGTAGTGTTTTGGGGCATCTAGTTGTACACAGTGAAAAGGCTTTTCCTTTATAAATTGTTGTATTGCTTTCATTCCTTGATGGATAGTTCTTTCTAATCCAAAGATTAGTAACAATGTATTTTATTCCTTTGARTATTTTAATTTTTTAACATGTGATTATGTAATTCACTTAAAGCTTACTGGTTAGTGGTGTAAGATTAAGGTTTTAATTTTAGTTTTCCTCTGTTAACTGTCARGCAGACTAAGGGCAGGACCAAAAACCTTTAGCTACACATAAAGCAGATGTAAATCAGACTTAGGGGAAATAGTTTGTCTAGAAATTTTATGTGGATTACCAAACCCATCATTCCAAGGTGTTGATTCAGCTCAGCACCCCAGGAGCAGTCAGGCCTGCTGGGGTGGGGATCCTGTGTTGGATGGCTGAAGGTGGGAGTAACCCTTCCTGCTGACTCAGCCAGAGTCCCTRAGGTCCTTAGGTGGAGGAGTTGGTGAATCCCCTGCAAACCAGAAGCCAAAACATTTGTTTCTTCTGAGCAATGTTTCTCTTTCTCTGTTTTGAAATCTGTCCTTTTCCCTTCTTTTATTACAAATTAAGTTCTTATAAATGCTGTGGTCTGTTTCAGGATTGCTTTTTTCTAATGATCTTTTGAATCTAGCACATATTATTTTTTTTTAATTGTAGAAGTTTTATAATAAATTTTAATACTCGGTGGTAATACTGGTTTAATGTCTTTTAATGATTACCAAAGTGAATACATGAACCTAGTTTTGATAAGTTGATTTCTATTCTAAAGCTTATTAAATAAATCAAAACCCTCCTTTGACTTATCTTTCCCTGCCTTCTGAGTCTGGCTCTTTAGCGGCCAAAGCTTTTTCAACTCCTTTAGCTGTATCTTCTGATATTAGTATCCATGTTTATAAATAGTATATTTATATGACTCTTTCTTGATTTTTCCAGCTTGAGACATCTTTTGGCTTAGTATTTAGAGATTCATTGCTCTTACTCTTCTAAGTCAGTTTCTTTCTTGTTGTTTTAGAGGAGCCTACTGTTCAGTAGCTTTCTGACAAAGGATGCATGAGAAATAAAATGTTTTGAGACTTTCCATTCTAAAAATGTGTTTATTTTGCTGGGCAGGGAGTGCATGCTTGTAATTGTAGCAGCTTGGGAGGCTAAGGCAGGAGGATAGCAAGCTTGAGATCAGTTTCAGCAATTTAGCAATTCCCTGTCTCAAAATAAAAAATAAAACCAGGACTGGGTTGTGGCTCAGTGGTAGAGCATTTGCCTAGGATGTATAAGGTCCTGAGTACTGCAATCAATCAATCAAAAATATTTCTACCATCCTGTATGGCATGATGATGATGGTTTGGGATAAGGAATGTTGAGTACATTTTCCCTCAGTATTTTGAAGGTGATCCTCTGTTGTCTAATGTAGAGTTTGGTGAACTTTCTGTAAAGGGACAGGTAGTAAGAGGTTTAGGTCTTGTGGGCTACAGCTTTGCCTCTGCTGCTGTAGTGAGGAGGGAGCCACAGACAGCGTGTAATCTGTGCCAGAAAAGCTTTACAGAACAGGCGGTGGGCACGGTGTCTCTTGGGTCCATAGTTTGCCAACTACTTTCTCGAGCTTCCAGTATTRTCAGAAGTTTCAAAGTCTTTCTGCCTTTTGTTTTTGACCTTTTTCCTTCTCATGGAAGCTTTGAACATTTTTTTCCCCTTCTTTTTTAGTGTTTTCTTTTAGAGTTCATACTATTTTTATTCCTACTTGATATTTTAGTGGGGGTTTTGGGAGGAACTGGAATTAAAGACATATTTATCTGGAAATTTGTTATTCTTTATTTAATGTATTAACTTTTGAGGTACTGGGGATTGAACCCGGCAGCTCTATCACTAAGCTGCATCCCCAGSCCCTTTTATTCTCTTTAGAGCCAGGGTCTCCCTAAGTTGCCCACACTGGCCTCRCAGTCCTCCTGCTTGAGTCCCCCTAGCAGCTGGGAGCAGAAGCRTGGGTCCCCACACCAAGCTTTATTCCTTTTATTTTGAAAATAATTCTTCTTTATGTGTTTATTTTTAGTTAAACCTTAAAGTTGTCTGTCAAGATCCAGGGAAAATCTCATCAGAACTTTGGTTGCCTTCAGTGACCAGATAACTAGACCTGTATACTGTGCTCACTGTGGACTTGGTATCCAGGCTCTGCTTTGACTTTATTTTTGTTTTATTCTTGCTTAGCAAAAAAAAAAAAAAAAAATCAAGAAGAGGGATGGCTCTATAAATGAGGTTTTATATGCTATATTCATCTTTTTAATTCATTGAATAAAATATTTAATTTTTTAAAAAACAAATACACTTTATCCTATGGAAAATTTCTGGTCAGACCTTGAAAGAAAAACCATATATTTTCCCTGAGATTCAGAAAAAAAAAATAACTAATTGAACTCCATTATTACGATATTACTGACACTAATCAAGTAAATTAGAAAAATAATTCATACTGTTTTTGTGTGTGTTAATTTTCAGTTTTCCCATTTATTTATCTATATCTACACATGGAATATTTTTTTAAATAAAGGTAATATTATATTTTAATAATGTATAAAACATATAACTTGATTTTTATCTTCTTGATTTACTTCTCACGTTTTCAATATTATTGTATAATTGTCTTATTTGTCARTGGTGATACAGCACAGCAGTCCCCCTTATTCTTGGTTTTGCTTTGTGTGGCTTCAGTTAACTATGGTCAGATACAGACCAAAAAATACAGTACAATACAGGATGGGGTTTTGATAGTGACTACATTTACATAACCTTTGTTACAGTATACTGTTACACTTGTCCTATTTTATTATTACTGTTGTTGATTTCTTACTGTGCCTGATTTATAAATTAAGCTTTATGGAGCTCAGTATATATAAGAAAATAACTCAATATGTGCAGAGTTTGGTACTGCTTRTGATTTTAGCCACCTGCAGAACATCTTGGAATGTGTCCACTGTGGATAAGGGGGCACTTCTGTAGTTCACAGATMTGATTTATCCTGTTGCCAGACAACRTTGTTTTCTCTTCCTTATGAGTAATGTTGCAGTAAGGACATATTTAGGAGTATAGTCTTTTCCTCTACTTGGATTATTTCCTCATGATTAATTTCTATTAGGACATTCTAGTAACTAGAAATTGTTTTGACTTGTGAAATCTGTCTTCTCCTTATACTACAGAAATGTAAACTTTTAATCTTTGTGTGCACTTCTAAGCATCATTATTTCTTTACAATTAATTCCATAAGGTTGATTATGWCAGGATTTTTGTGTTCCAGAAAGATTGTACAAAGTTACATCCCCAGAGCAACAATTTGTGTCTTCAAACCCTCAGCAATACCAGATGTCATCGTAGGGCTTTAAAGTGTGTGTGTGTGTGTGTGTGTGTGTGTGTGTGTGTGTGTGTGTCTGTGTCTGTGTTAGGCTGTAAGAATTGAGAAGAGTAGAGAGACAAGGAAAAGCTCATGAGTAGGAGACAGGAGAAAAATGGCAAATAAGTGAAAGAAGGAGAGTCAGGAAAGCCAGGGCGAGGTATGGGATCCAAGGCAGGAAAGTGTTTCAAGATGAGCAGAAAAGAGATCCAGGGGACACTTTTTATCTATTAAAAGTGCACTTGGTTTTTGTACTGTCCTGAGAATTTCTACCTGGCTGTAAAACAAATTGTTTTTAATATGTTACTTTTTGGTCATAATATGTATTTGTTAGGTTGTAAACAATAAATGAAAGAGTGTGACCTCCATATGTGATGACCTCACTTTCTCTTTTTAAATGCCCTGGAGGTAGACTTGGCATTCTCGCACCCTGCCATCTCTGCATACTTGGGCTGGATATTTTGTTGTCTTGTCAACTCCTTTCTGAAGGAGTGTTGTGCTCCCAGCTGCGACAGGCAGCCCCCGCCCCCGCCCCCACCCTGCTCTCCTCAGCACACTTTGGGTTGCTTCCAATTGTCAGGAACTGAGGGCCAGGCCTTTCGGGAAAACTATATTTTATAGGCAAAAGAATGCATCTCTTCTCTATGTAAGGCACTGTAATTGGGCACAGTGGGGAATGCAGAGATGAGTAATGTTTGAATTTTGTCTTTAAAAGGTATAAAGTCTGGGAAGAGAGGTAAGACATGGCATAAAAGGCTATAATGTGAGAAAAACATAAATCCTGAGGAGTTATAAAGTGACATGGAAGAATAGGTTTTTATATTATATACTGCATTTTTATTTACTGGTAGCTTAGAAATAATAGAGCACTATTACTTTAAATCATTTCCCTTTCCCCCAGTTTCTTAGCACCTGGTTATTTATCGCTTATGTGGCTCTTAAACCATCACTGGTATGAGTCTTAACTAGACTGTAAGCTCTTTGAGGAAAAGTACCACCTTACTTGCTTTTCTGTCCCTCACTTCAGGACCTGTATTAGGCTCTAAGAAGGAGCTTGCAGATTTATGTCACCAAGCATTTATACTTGCCCCTTTATTTGAAATGCTTTAAATTGTTTACACTGACCTAAATTCTTCCCTGTCTCTTAGGTATATTTGCACCTCTTTCAAAGATAAGTAAAGCGAAAGATCGAAGGAAGAACGTAACGCACGCTCCTTCCATGAAAGCCGTGCCTCTCATCAGGTCCCAGAAAATTGATGTAGGTCACGTCACCTCAAAAGTGAACACTGGTAGGTCAAATCAGAAAGGAGGCCATCCTCCTCAGTGTTTTTGCTTTATTCCTGGGATTCCTAACGTCTAGGCTGCTTTGCTCTCTTTCCTWAGCCAGYCGMGAAACCAGAATCSAGTACAACTKCAGGTTTGTGTTTCCCAGCCRCAGTCAGGTTTAAAGGCTTCAGCTTCTAACAAGGGCGGTTCAGAATTGTCCCTCCCTTTCCTTTCCTGTTGTCTCCATACCTCTAACCSCCCCCCTAATCTAACTCAGAGCTGGCTTTGGTACCTCCAACAAGCCTGCGGGAAAAGGCTCACTTCACGTTCCTCACCTGTTCAAGGACATGCAGAGACTCCTGTCSCCACTCCCGGACTCCTGACACCAGCAGAGTCCTCCTTCACCTGCTGCAGTCCCTTCTGTTGTTGGGCCGCGGTTTGCGGAATCTCTCCCTGTCTCTGCACTCATTGTGCTCGTTCCTTCCTTCAGCCCTGTCTTGGGCACGGCTGTGACTTCTGCTTTGGGGTGTCCTTGCTGGGCTTGACCTCCTTACCCACACCCTCTTTCTCCGAGGAAACTTGCCCAGGGTCTCTGTTTTACCTAATCTCTTTGTTCTCTGGCCTTGTACTTACTTTTTTCCCAATTGTGAGTTATTACTTTGGATTTTGTCCACTGATTGCTTTATTTGTGCAAATCTTTTATTCTCTCGGCAGAATTTTAATCTTTAAATGGGCTCTGAGAATATTCTGTCTTCTATTCAGTGTGGCACATAGCAGAGAATTAGGGGCTCAATAAATAATTTGTTAACTCATTAACAGCTGAAATAGAAAGACTTTCAAACGTGATGAGAGAATTGTCTCCAAAAACTTGGTGTGGTGTTTCTATTCTGTTCCATTGGGCTATTTGAATATTGCTGTGTCAAAATTCACTTCATAATTGCTCTAATTTAAAATTAATAAATCTTGATATCCAGTAGAGGAAAGTCTCCCACCTTATTCTTGAAAATTGTCTTGCCTGTTTTGGGGCTTTATACATCAYACTTCCTTATTAATTCTAGAATAAGTAGTTAAGTTTCTTTTAAAAAATAATCTGCTGTGGTTTTAATTGGTATTAAATTTAAACCTTAAATCAATTTAAAAAGAACTGACATCTTTACAATAGTTAGTCTTTTAATTATGCCCTTGGAATAATTTTCTATTTAATTATGTTCTTTAAAAATATCTCACTACAGTTTTTTTTTTTTCAATTCTCTTTCACCCCAACCAGTGGGTGAGCAGGTACCTAAAATCCCAAGGAAGGGCAACCCTTGTTTCTGAATGGAGAAACTGTGGTCCTAAAAACATGCATGGAGTCCCCAGAGTTCTTTCTGTTTTATCATAGCTGGACCCYAGAGGCAGAATCCATCTCATGACAGAGTAGGGAAATGAAAACTGTGGGAGGTGTTGTACTCAGGATGCGAGGAAGGAGTGTCCTGGAGYTGTCAGGGAGATCACGAGAAGATGGGCTCGAGAGAGTGACCTTCAAATATTAGACAGGAACTCCCAGGCCTGTTCCCAGGTTGGGTGTGTATGAATCTGACCAAAGGTGGTGGTCTCTGGATAGACTACTTCCCAGGCACAACTGACTACTTGGTGGCATAGCACATAAAATAGATTTGAATGTCACTGCAGAGATTTTGGAAACTCAGTGGCCATGGGAACTGCTGCTCACAGAAGGTGGGCAGAAAGTTCTAGCCTGAACCTAACCAGGTTGTGACTTCTGCTGAAACAAAAGAAAACCAACCAACAAAACAACATTCTCCAAAGGGTTTAACGTGACTCATTGTCCAATAACAAAACATTCAAATAGGAACTCTAAGATGATACAGATGTTGCAACGAACACATAAAGACTTTAAAGAATAGAATAATTCTAAAGAATAATTGTAACTATGCTCAAGAACTAAGGGTGAATTCTCTTGAAACAAATGGAAAGACAATTTTAGCAGAGAACTAACACATAAAGACTTTAAAGAACAGAATAATTGTAAAGAATAATTGTAACTATGCTCCAAGAACTAAGGGTGAATTCTCTTGAAACAAATGGAAAGACAATTTTAGCAGAGAAACAGAAGATGTGAAGAGTCATATATTGTGTGTACGCACACACACACACACACACACACACACACAGAAGTAAACCTTGGATGATTTGTGTAAAATCACTGGATTATATCAAGGTCTGTTTCCTGGTTTGGGATTATAGTTTTGTAAAACATTATCTTTGGAGAAACTGGACAAAGTGTACAGGGATCTTCTTATATTACTTTTTACAACATGAATTTACAGTGATCTCAATTAAAACKTTCAAAAAAAGGACCAAATGGATAATTAAGACAGAAAAACATAATAATTAAATTATTAAAAAATAAGAAATCTACCCAGCAGGTTGTCTTCTCATTCCATTTATGGTGTCTAGTTCAGGCCCTCATCCCTGATTGCTGTCATAGTTTCCCCAAGTTTCTGCAATCAGCTTCTCCACCTCTGGTTTTCTTTTGGACCTTAAGTTGGAAAAATGTTACATAACCAGGATTCTGCTGAGGCCAGTCCTCCTTTTTAAAGCCCAGTGGARGGTCCTTCACTACAGAAGAGCTTCCATTCCTTAGGCAGGCACTCTTACCTGGGAGGTCTTCTGACACTTGTCCATCCCTTTACTTCTCCATCCCAAAACTACTCTACTCCAGCCAAGTATTTACCATGCTCTGTCTTCCTGAAAGAGCTACTTTCTCTCCATTCTGAGCTTCCATTCTTAATTTTTCCTGACCATACCTCCAGTGTTCTGGGGAAAGATCTCACTTGTTCCTCAAGGCCTATCTCAGTGTGTTGTGGCCTTGTTGATGGCGCACTCATTTATGGTTACAGCAGCAGTTACTGTCTCCTTCTCCTGTCCTCATGAAGAGTATTCTCACATTTTACTCATGCCATCCATATTGAACCGAGCAGGACCTACCTCCTCAGGGCATGGACCATGCCTTGTTAATCTTTGAGTACCTTGTGATATTCAAAGTCCCAAGGACAGTTCTTTGTTAAAAATGCTTCATAAGTAAATAGAATTCTACCAGACAGAACTTAAAATTATGTGTAGCCYGTTTGATTTCCTATTTAAATTATTTAGTTCTGTACAGTTGAAACAAAAGTCTTAATAAGGCAGATTATTATTTAAGAGCTTCCCTGCTCCATGTAAAAGTTTTGTGGGAGTAGGGTGTGGTAGARTGGGGTAGTCATTTTCAGAATACCAATGACAAAGTACAGGACTTCTTACCATCTGAACTCTCATAAGTGAAGAATTGCTATAATAATTGGCAAAAATTTTTACCCCAAATTCACTGCACAGAATACCTGCTGCAATGAAKTGCATGCAAACATTGGTGAACTAGTTGTTTGTAGGTTCCAGTGAGCTGTGGCCCCTGCACGTCCTGTCTTCARTTTGCTGTACCTGACAGCACAGTGCAGTTGTGCTCACCAGAGGGTGTGTCAGCCGTCAGTGAGGCACCTGGGTGGCACATGCTTTGTATTCCTTGGAAATCCTTAGCAGATCATGAAATTGGGGCTTTCATATTGGCTACAAATGCATTCTTTTTCCTCTAAAGGTGAAATATTGGTTTCTGTGTTTATTATCCAGCATGTTTTCAGAAGAAGGTAAGATTTAGATGAAGAGGAATGCATGTACTTTTTAAAACAAATACAGTTTTTTKTGTGTTTAATGTTAAAGAAAATTCTCTTTTGCTGAAAGTGCTTTATTTTCATGTCCTAGGATTGATGACATCAAAAAAAGAGAGTGCTTCTGAATCAGTACTTTCCTTGCCTCCTAGTGAAGAATTGAAAACTTTAACAGAGAAAGATGGTAATATAATTTATAACTTCTCAAAATTTAATTTGCTGGTAGAATTTTAATATCATAGAAAAACAGCTTACATGCGGGTTAAGTTTTAAAGTTGGTAAGGGAAAAATGAGTATGATAAAAATTACCCTTGAAAATCTCTTAAGCAGCTCATAATAAAGTGTATACTTTAAAAGAGATAAATTCCTATCCTGCATTT